AAGCAGTGAGGGCAGAAGTCGGTCACCGAGGTGAGCGCAGGCAGCGGAGTTGGCTCAGATGCAAGAACTGGGAAGAGTGCAGCCAAAAACGGAACCCCGAGCCGGCTGATAAAGGAAGACAAAAGAATGCAAGTCACCGTATCATGGATGAACAAAGATCATCAGTGAAAGTTCATGAAAATGGAATTAAAAAATAAATTTATTTGGGTGCAAACATCCATACATGATTTTTTTCATAATATGCAATTTCATGAACTTTTTTGAAGAGTCCTTGAATATTTCAGGGATACAAATATTATAAATAAATTGATAACAAATTTGATAACTGACACATAACTGGACACATTCTTTGAAAAATAGGATTTATCAAAAGCAAGCCAAGATGGATTGGAAATTTGACTACGTTAACTCTGTAAGCATCACAAACTAACCTACAAAGAAAACTGCAGACTCAAATGGCTTCATTGCTGAATGTGCCCGACACAGACAGTGGAAATGAAAACAAGGTTATAAACAGCTCTCTAGAACACAGAAGGCAAGGGGCAGGCATTGTGGCACAGTGGTTGAGCTGCTGCTTGGGCTGCCCGTCCCATATTGGAGTCCTGACTACGGCACAACTCTGATCCAGCTTCCTGCTAATGTGCCTGGGAGTCCATGGAAGACGGCCCTTACATTTGGATTCCTGACACCCCCATGGGAGGCCCAGGTGAGGTTTCTGGTTCCTAGCTTTGGCCTGGTCCAAGCTGGGCTGTGACAAGCATTTGGGTAGTGAACCAACAGATGGAAGATCTTTTTCTGTCTCTGTCTCTCTGTCTCCATCATTCTGCCTTTCAAATAAATAAATATTTATTTATTGATAAAATTTTTGCAGTTATTAATCCCCATGAAAAAATTTGCACAGTCACCATAGGTAAAGCCCTTGCAGAATCTTTAAAAAAGGGATAAGTTGCAAACTTAAACTAGAAGTTCCAATAATCAATATAGTGTGCCCATATAAGCAACCAGGTATGAACACATGTATATGTACATATCAGAGGACTAGAACAGAGAGACCAAAAATAGATCTGCACCTGTACAGTTGATTTTTAAAATAGATTTATTTATTTATTTGAAAGAGCAATGGGAAACAGAGATCTTCCCTCTGCTTATTCATTCCCCAGATGGTGGCAACAACTTTTGGCCAAGCCAAAGCCAGCAGCCAGGAACACCATCCAGGACTCCTATGTGGGTGGCAGAGGCCCAAGCACTTAGAGCAGCTTCTGCTGCTGTCCCAGGCACATTAGCAGGGAGGCGGATCAGAAGTGGAGCAGCCGGGACTTGAACTGGTGCTGTAATGGGAGGCTGGTGTCACCGGTGGTGGCTTAGCCTGCTGCACCACAATGCCCAGCTCCTCATCTTCTGATACAGAGCACGGCCTCCTCTTTTTAGTCCTCGTTGTCTGGGTTTTGGGTCTGCGGATTCTTCAAGGGAAGCATATGGTTGTCAGCCTCATTTTCTAGATGGAGAAAGTGCTCCTTGGAGGGGTGCGGTGCTTTGCTGCAGTGCTCACCGACTAAGATTTTGTGCATCCAGGTCACTGCTCTTCCCATGTCTCTATGAGGTCTTCATTTTCCCGGAGAGATTAACATTCCCTGTTTTCTTCTTCTGGCGAGATGCTGTATTCTGCAAAATTAGTCTGGCTTCCCAGGGCCCCACCCCCCAGCCAAGCCTCCGCTTCTCTGTAGCCTGTGAGAGGAGGATTGCAGGATTGCACTTCATCCAGTTGATTTTTCCTCGTTTGCACCTCATTTGTACTCCGGAATGAACAATATGTAGGATCTCAGTCCACGTTTAAAACATGGCTCAAAAGTGATTCACTTCCATCGCTAGCAAAATGTTTATACTTCTGAGTTCTCAGAAATCTGCCCCCCTCTTTGCAGATGAAGGGTTAGGATTACATAATTCAATTAGAAAAGAAACTCCAGCTATGCGAGGCCGTATCTGATGTGGGTTTCCAGCGTCTGGCCCCAGGAGGACAGCATGTACTGGCACATCTTCTGCAGAGATCACAACTAGCGAAACCCATCTATAAATTCATTCTTTTAATCTTGCGTTCAGATAAACAGTGTTTATCACAACTTTGGACATCCTCACCCATGGCCACGGGCAGCACCGTGACCATTCTTATTCAGTTAATTAGCGCTGCAAACCATAGGCGTTCCTGCAGCTGCTAAGGGGCCCTGGTGGACCTCAGCTGCTGTTGGTTGCCCGTGAACTCCAGGCCATTGCAGGCCTGCTCAGCTCCAGCAAAAGCACCCAGCCTTGGTTAACTCCCTCAAGTCAACCTTTCTAGATCAAGGTTCCACTTCTTTCAGTCCTGGGGGTGCTGGGGTGGGTGTGGGAAGGGGGCACAGAGCAGGACTTTGATAATTGTGTCAGTAGGAGCAGGGAAATTTTCTCAGGGAATCAGACCTGGATGTAGGGCTTTTTTTTTTTTTTAAGGTTGTTTTATTTGAAAGGTAGAGTTACAGAGAGGCAGAGGCAGAGAGAGAGAGAGAGGTCTTCCATCCACGGTTCACTCTCCAGATGGCCGCAATGGCCAGAGCTGGGCCAATCTGGAGCCAGGAGCTTCTTCCGGATCTCCCATGTGGGTGCAGGGGCCCAAGGACTTGGGCCATCTTCTACTGCTTTCCCAGGCCACAGCAGAGAGCTGGATCAGAAGTGGAGCACCCAGGACTCAAACCAGTGCCCATATGGGATGTTGGTACTGCAGGTGGCGGCTTTACCCGCTAAGCCACAGTGCAGGCCCCTGGATGTAGGTCTAAGTCCCTTCTTGGCCATCAACATGCAATGTGTTTTTATGACATCCTTGGCACTGGGGTGTCAAGGACACTCAAAGTTGTCCTGTTCATCATTGTTAGGCCTTGAGAGGTCCATGGAAGACAGCAGTCTGGTGTTCATGGGTCCTTGATTAAAGCATCCTGTTATGTCAGCCTGATGTCACTGCTGGTCACGTGGCACTGTTGGACGTTGTTGGCATGATCTGGCTCTCGAGTGGCAGGTTGCAAAGGTTTGTGCTATGGGGTGAACTGCACCACCCCCAGATCCATGTGTTGGGAGCCCAAACCCCTAGTACCTCAGGGTGTGACTGGGCTTGGAGATGGGCCTTTGAGAGGTATAATGAGGTCATATGGGTGGGCCAGGGAGACTCCTGCCTGTGCCAGACAGGGAAACTTGGGGCCAGGCACACAGAGGGAAGATGACGTGAGGAGACACATAGAGAGAGCCAATGCCTGGGACACGCCCCTTGCAGCCCCGCCCACACCTTGCTTTCAGGTTTGTAGCCTCCAGAACTGGAAGAGGACTCACTTCTGTGGTTTAAGCCTCCGAGTCTGGGGCACTTGACGGCAGCTCCGGCAAACCCATCACCTGGGAGCCAGGTTGGAGAATCCTATCTGGAAAGGCCACACTGTGTGATGTTCGGGGTGGGCTCTGTGCCCTCTGCTGCACTGCTCACACACTGACCCCAGGAGCCCGTGGTCAATGCTCTCACCCAACCTTGCACGTGCGCGAGGACTGCCCGTCTCACCCCAACTCAGCCCAGTGCCGGGCACAGGGTAGCTGGTGAAATTATGCCCGTTACTGTTAGTGTCCAGTGGAAAGGCATTGGTCTTCTGAAGTTAATGGTTGGGTGGGCGTGGGGAGAGGGCCCACCCCCTGGAACTGATACAGCATTAGTGCTTAAGAAAGTGGTGTCTAGGGGGCCAGCGCTGTGGCGTAGCAGGGAAAGCTGCCGCCTGCAGGGCCGGCATCCCACGTGGGTGCCAGTTTGAGTCCTGGCTGCTCCACTTCTGAGCCAGCTCCCTGCTCATGTGCCTGGGAAAGCAGTGGAAAATGATCCAAGTGCTTGGACCCCTGTGTTCACATGGGAGACCTGGAAGAAGCTCCTGGACTGGTCAGCTCCAGTTGTTGTAGCTATTTGGGGAATGAACCAGTGGATGGAAGACTTGCCCTCGCCCTCGCCCTCCCCCTCCCCCTCCCTCTCCTTCTCCCTCTCTCTGCCTTTGCTTCTCTGTAACTCTGCCTTTCAAACAAATACATCTTTTAAAAAAAGTATTATTCATATTAGGTCTGAGCATGCAGACTTGAGCAATCTGGTTTACAACTTTACTAACTTCACGCATCATTAATGACAAATCACCTTCAAAAAAGGCCGGACTTCGCCATCTGGAAGCTAAGCAACACAGACACACATTTCTATAACAAATCAAAAGCTTGAGAAAAGCTGAGATAGCAAGAAAAATGGGAGCCTGATGTCCCCAGCATGCTGTATAAATGTCTTAATCATTGAACAGAAGTCGGATACATTGCACACATTTTACTATGATGTTTGCTAACAAGCAAGCAATAAAAATGAGACATAGGAATGATGAAAAGTTTAGTTCACTAGAATTGGGAACAATTACATTTGTGATAGCACCCTGTGACTTCATGCTGCTGCAAAAAATGGGGTACAATAGGCACTTTAAAAATGTTTATATTATTTATTCAAAAGGCAGAGTTACAGAGAGAAAGAGACAGAAATCTTCTGTCCGCTGGTTCACTTCCAAATGCCTGCAATGGCCGGGGCTCGGCCAGGTCTCCCAAGTGGGTGGCAGGAGCTCAAGCACTTGGGCCATCCTCTGCTGCTTTTCCAGGCCATTAGCAGGGACCTGGATCAGAAATGGAGCAGCCAGGACTTGAACTGGCGCCCATATGGGATGTCAGCGTCGCTGGTGGCGGCTTTACCTGCTACACCACAACTCCTGCAAAATGGGCACTTTTTAAAAAAAATTATTTTATAAACTTCAAGAGAACAGAGATTATCTTTCCTAAACCCAAGATCCATGGTCTTGCCATTGGTCTGGAATAACGAATATAAATTTAATAAGTGCTTGCTGAATAAACCAATGTATGAATGTTTTTAGTGGATTTCCACAAACTGAAGGAAAAGAAGATAACACGTCAGTAAAGAAAGAACATTTTCATTTTCAAATGAGAAGGGCGATTTATTGTAGTGCGGTTACACTGAGATTTTATGCATGAGCCCTGGTGCTCGTAGAACCATTCACTCGCATGGTGTGGAAAAGACACTGTGGATCTACATAAACACTCCAAGAGCTCCAACGAGTTCCTGTTGATAGAACACACTCTCAGTCTCCCACCCAAGTTTAATTAGGTGATGGAAAGGGCGTGTTTAAGCATTTTTCATAGTTTTCACTGTGGCCTTTTCTTTGCCTGGTGTTGATAATCCCTTTGACAACGCCAACCACGGAACTGTTCCGTGTAGATAACCAGTCGCCTAGGGCCGCTTAGTGAAGTAAACTTTTTGCAGAGATTGGAACATTTAAGTGGAGTTGTGGACAAAGGGGAAGACCGGCAGCACAGACACAAGCGCAGGGGATTTTTACATAGAGGCCGGTGGTGATCTGTCCCAGGACGGGAGACACAGAGCAGTGTTGCTGCAAGCCCACCCACACGGGGACGCAGGGGTCCTCACCCTGGCCGCCCTTGCACCGGACACTGGCCTATATACAGCGTTTTCTGCACGTGTTCCATATTGCACAAATTCAGGTGCGCAGACACCCTCACAGACAAATGTCTGAAGGAGCTTATTCGTGACTTCTTTTGGAAACAGTGTATCTACAGGCAGTTTCCCAGTTACAGGTTCACAGAGACGCCACACCCAGCATCCTGGGGGCGTGGTCTTCCTTGCTAAATATAGGATTCTTTAGCATACTGGAGTTGGTCTGCCTCAAAGACTGGCTGGCTGCAGCGTAGCCCGCGGCCGTCCAGCTTCTCCCTCTGTAGAGACTCTGGCGTGGTCCTCGGCGTGAGCATCTCAGGTGGCTGGCGCACAGGCCAGGGCCCTGGTGTTCCCGCAGGCGCAGGGACCGTCCTGCCCAGCCTGCAGCGCCCACACCCGTCCTGCGAGTCCCCTCCAAGCATTCTCGCCCTCATGCTCGCCACAGTCTGGCCCGCACAGGCCATGAGTCCGGCTGCTTGGCACCGGACGGCCTCCTCGTAGGACGGGGGGCTCCCGGGGCCCCTGGCCGCAGCCAGCGGGAACACCTCGTCCACCAACAGGGCGTAGGAGCGCGTGCTGCCGTCCAGGGCTGTCTGGCTGTGGCATTCGGCCCCTGTTTCCTGGACGATGCGGCCAGCCAGCTGGCTTTCTCTTTTCAGGACCCTCTTGCCCTGGTCCCCGGTGGCGAAGCCTTTGGCTCTCCCAGGCCCCACGCTGGGGGGCTTGGCCAGCACTTGCTTGTGAGAGGCGAAGGAGAAAGACACAGAATGCTTTTTGATTTCCCGGCTGGGCTTGCTCTTCTCCGTCTTGCTGGTGAAAGACTGATGCCTGGTGAAGAAATTTCTCTTGGGGCTGGAAGGAGACGCTGGGGGCGGACTCTCAGCCGCCCCGTCCAGGGAGCCGCTGGAGAAGGCCTTGGCCACCAGCCCCCGCCGCAGCGCCAGACCCTGGGCCAGGTTCCTGATCTTCAGGTCCCCGGGCCTCCCGCCCTTGCCTGGCGGGGCCGGGAAGACCTCCTCCGGGAACGGGTCTGCAGCCTGCCCCCTGGTGAAGTCGTCCTCACTCCTGGTTAGCTTCTGGTTTGTCATCCGGCCCTCGAGGCACTCCTGGGAGGGTGAGGCGCCAGGTTCCGAGTACCTCCGGTCTGGCTGGCTGGCGTAGCTTTTCAGCCTGGCCACTGTGCTCGCAATGGGCTCCAGCCGGAACTCGCCCGCGGCCCGCGGTGCCCTGCAGTCTGAGCTGGCCACCTCGGCCTTGGCCGCCGGGGGCTGCCGGCCCGGGGAGTCTGCGGCACCGGTGGCGTCGCCGTCCGGGTCATTGCTGTCGTAGGCGGAGTCGTTCTGCAGGGTGGACGTGTCTGTGGGAGGTGAAGGGACAGTTGAACTTTGCACACGGCTTTCTTCAGAATACATTTTTACTGCAGTTCACCCCACTCATGCCAGTCATGGCCCTAGGGAACCACTTCAAGGCCTGGCATGACAAAGATGTATCATACTAAGATTCTGGGGGGCTGGTGTGGTGGCGTTGTGGGCTTGGGTTAAGCCACTGCCTGGAATGCTGGCATCCATCTGGATGCTGGTTTGAATTCTGGCTGCACCACTTCCGATCCAGCTCCCTACTAATGTGCCTGGGAAAAGCCAAGTGTGTGGGCCTTGCTCTGCATGTGGGAGACCCGGATTGAAGCTCCTGGCTTCAGCCTGGCTCATCTCGGGCCATTGCGGCTGTTTGGGGAATGAACCAGTGGATGGACCCTCTGTCTGTCGCTCCCTGTCTCTCTTTGTAACTGACTTCCAAATCAATCAATCAATCTTAAATTTTAGTTTCAGGGCAGGCCTTGGTTCAGCAGCTAAGTTTGCTTGGGATGCCCGCCTCCCGCATCAGAGTGTCTGGCTTGGAGTCCCAGCTGTGCCCCAGATTCCAGCTTCCAGGGGACGGCTCAGGGACTTGAGTGCCCGCCACCCATGTGGGAGACCTGGAGTGAGTTCCTGGCTCCAAGCTTCAGCCCGGTCCAGCTCTGGCCATCACAGGCACTTGGAGAGTGAACTAGCGAATGGGAGATCCTTGTCTCTCTGTGTCTTTCTGCCTTGCAAACAAATACATAAGAAATTTTTTAAAAAATTTCTTTCCAAATTTATTTTAAGATGAGAAGAAAGTAGAAAAAGGAAATGAGAATGAAGAAAGAAGGGAGGGAGGCAGGAGGAGAGAGAAGATAGCATTCACTGAAAATTTATTGAATTTAAAATTTAAAAATTGTTGTTTTAAACATTTTAAATGTGATGGCTGTCTTGTTGGGCCCACTTCCGTTGTGTGGAGACCAGGGCTGCTCAGCCCAGCGCCACAGCTACCGAGTGTTTCGTAAAAGCAGCAGTGGGCTGGGATGGGCGTGGAGGCGGACAGCTCCGGACTGAAGCCGGCAGAGCGGCTGCAGGCTGCGGGGGTTGCTGGGAGACGCCAGACAGAGCTTTCCCGGACGAGGACTTCTTTATGGACTCGCGTCCGGTCCGCCCCGGTGATTTGTGAAGGTGACTCCAGCGTCACATACCAGAGATCCCTGCCGTCCCTGGCCACGCAGGCCCCTCTCCCCACACCCCGCCCCCCACCCCGGGGCCGCACATTCCGTACCTGAACTGTCAGTGTGTTCCAGGGAGTCGTCAGACGTGAGGCCGCAAGGAGCCGGAATGTCCTCCCCAAATATTTCCAAGCAGTTATCAATGAGGAATTCCACCAGCGTCTTAACCTGGGAGGAGAAATCGGGAGGCTGTCGGCTTTGGGACATTTTTTTCCTTGGGGAGTGGGGGAAGAAGGGGCCCGCGCTGAGGGCCGCCCCTGGGGGAGGTTGAACTGGAATGAGAACGAGGGATGCCTGAGTCTGCAAAGGGCGGGCAGAAGCCTGTTCGTTAATTCCGCTGACGTGGGACAGCGTTTGGTGTTTCAGGACACGCTGTTAGACTGAGGCCGCAGACCTGGGAGGCTGCGTGGGCTGTGCGTATCTAAGGGGGCAGCCTGCGCCGAGCGCTTTCCCCAGGATCCGCGGCCGGCTGGAGAAACACGGAAGCGCTCCCCCGCGGGGCTTTCGCGGCCTGACGCTGCGATCCCAGCCCGGAGGCTTCTCGTGCACCCGCAGAACGAACCTTCCCGTGCAGGTTCTTCTGGGCCTCGAAGGACAAGTGGTGGTCGTGCGCGGGCGACAGCACGTTGGGCCCGATGCAGATGGCCAGGTTGCTGGCGTCCATCTTGTTCACCTCGGAGTTCTTGCTGATCAGGTGCAGGACGAGCAGCAGGTGCCTGAGCAGTAGGAAGTTGGGCCGGGGCAGTTTGTCCGCGATCCTGCAATGAGAGGAGGGGCCTGAGTTTCGGGGCAGCTCCTCGCCACGGCTGGCTTCAGCGTAGCGTGCTGCAAGCTGCTGCCAGAACCAGGCTTCCTTTAAAAAGAGGAAGTAGTCTTGTGAAATATTCACTCAGACGCTTTTGGTAGCAACGGACATGGAACGGGACTGGTTATGCACAGGTCTGGAAGAGCGAAGAGGCCGGTCGGGGCCCCGGGACGCCCATACCGCCCATCTCACCACCCGGTGACTTTACACTGCAAACAGCTACGTTGTCACCATTCAGCCTCGCAGAATTTCCTTCTGCTTCTAAGACCCTGAACACTGGTTTGCTTGCCTCTTTTTATTGAACTGCCATCCCCAGGCGTAGGCGGCTCACTTTTATCCCAGCCTGAGAAGTCTTGGGGGACTTACTCTCTCAGCGCCTCTACTCTGTCGTCCTCGGCTGGCTTCTCCAGGGCCCCCATCCACTCCTCAAAGAGGTCGCAGGAAAGCAGCTTCTGGGGGATGCCTCTGAGGAAGTCCTGGGGGGGCGGGGGTGGGGGAAGGGTGGACGTTGGCCTGTGGTGGTTGCACCACCGGTGGGGTCTTCATTCTCCCGTCGCTTGCATTCCACCCCGGGACACCCTGGTGCTTGTCTGGTGCTAGGCTGTACCCACTTCGTTCTGCTCTTTGGTGAGTGGGAAACTTCTCTCAAACCCGCATCTCACAACTCGCCTGACAGCGGGCACAGCGAGAGGCTCCAGCCCCAGGTGGGTGGATTCCGAGGGGCCACTAGATCTCGGGGCATAGACTTGGCCATGGGACCCTGCAAGTCTCCTTTTTGTCATCACACTTTTGGCAGAACTTAGTGCATTCCCTTGCTGCTGGAATTTGGGGTGATGGGAAACAGGGGTGCTTGCAGAAACAATGACAAGGCTTAAGCTAAAACAACGAAACCCCAAGAGCAGCCCATAGGGAGAGAGGCCGCTCATTGGCTCCTGAGAAGGGGCGTGCCAGAGCCGGCTGGCAGGCTGTTTGTTGGGCACGGCCGCCGCGGACTCACCTTGAAGACGACGGCCAGGAGGTGCACAGGGAGCCCCGCGACATCCACTGCCGCCCCGGAGTTGAGCTCCTCCTTCAGCTCCTTGCGGGCTTTCTCGCTGGCCGCTTTCCTGAAGATGCCCTCCGTGGCAGGGCCCCTGAGACACAGGGCAGCCAGGATGTCCTGGAGCAGACAGGGACGGGACAGCAAGCAGTCACTGGGTGCACGGACGCACGCTTCTCCGCCTCGGATCTATGCAAATCTGCGTGCCCGTGGACATTCCCCAGCTGGCCCAGCCATAAAATATCCTCTCCATAAAAGGCCGTGCTCTCTGGGTGACGGGGAGAGCGCTTCGGCCAGAGCGTTCCCGCCAGCCTTCGCTTCCAGTACATCTGCTGTCAGTGAGTCCCTCAGCCCCCTTCCATTTTCCTAAGAGGAGACCAACCGTGCAATTCCAGTTGCACACATTTCAAAATGACTTCAGGCAGGCCTCTCAGCTTTCAAACCCTTCCGTGGAAGCATTGCACGGGGTTGGATTTCTGTTTTCCGCCTGCCCACGTTGCAGAAGCAACACATTTTCTGCACTCTTAACTCCATGGAGTCAGGGGACCGTGGCGGTGGGAGGCGGGGATGGGGTGGGGGGACCGTTGCTCTGAGCTCCTCGCCAAGGACGGCTCTTTTCCAGACGGCAAGCCGTCAGGTGTCCTGGCCGCACGCGTGTGCGGGAGCCTCGCTCCTGAGAGCGCAAAAACACGAAAGCGTGGCCCCAGCGAGTCCAGCGTGAGGACCACAGTCAGGTTCCCCACGGACTTCCCATGTCCAACCGAGAACTCCAGGAGGTTTCTGAGTCAAGCCACGCGCGCCCACCTGAATGGGTTTGGGGAGTGTGTCGTCGTCACCACAGATGATGGCCAAGGGCTGATCGAACAGGGACAGAGCCCCCGGGAAGTCTGATGGAGGAGACAGCCTTCTCGTGAGAAACGGCCATGATGGCACCTTCTTTCTCTTCTTAACCTCTGCGGCCCGGGAGACAGGGTGGACAGAACATCAGATTGCAATGCTAACGAGTCGAGGTCCACACGAGAAAACAGATAGCGTCCATCACACAGTGTCGTTGATGGTATGCATGGGGGACGGGAATAATTTCAAAAAACCAACACACACACACACACACACACACACAAAACCGCACTGTTACCAGGGCAACCAGCCCCTAAACATCAACACCAAGGTTCCTCAAAGCCCCGCCTTTCCTGTTTTTGCCGTTCCCTGGCTGTTTGTTACAAAAAGGTAGCAGAGCCCAAGAAGGCCACAGGCAAACATCTTAAGGTGTTGGTGTTAATAACTGTAGGGGACATTTCTGATATGAAATGGATTAGCGTCCACCTTTTTCATTAGGGAAGAGCATGGAACAGAGGGAGCTAGCACCAAGCAGCCACTAGAGGGCGCCAGCCTGCCGTCCCCTGGGATTTCAAGATTTCCCCCTTTCCGGCTGGGGAAACCCAAATTGTTTCAGGGAGGGGCTTGAACTGGGAATTACCAGTGAACTGTTCCTAGGACAGCCCGTCCTTCCACAATCTGGGCGGCGGGACGCCCGGGGCCTCGCCATCTCCAAGGGACTTCTGTCTTTTCCTCCCTGGTTAGCAAGGGTCTCCCTTCTAACTGCACTGGCACCTGTTTCTATCCGCCGTGTTCCAGCAGGAGGAAGAAGGCGGAGAGCATCTTGGCCCGGCCGGAGCCTTCAGAACTGGGCCAGGGGTCCCCAGGGGTCCCCAGGGCCCCGTGACCCTCAGGTGCCTTTGGGGAAGAATTGAAAGCTGGGATTTGAGATGGGCGACACTTGCTTCCTGGGAGAAGGAAGACGGGCACCTTTTCGATGTCTGCGTGCCCTGTCAGAGCAGATTCGTAAGCCCCTTATGGAGCAGGGGGGGATGCGTGGAGAGGGGGCTGCCCACTGGAGCACTCACAGCTCTAGATGGCTGGAGCTTGCCTGCCACCAAAGTGTTAATGTTCTGCGGTCTTTCAGAGAACACTTGGTAAGGCAGATTCCTAGTACAGAGAAGCACGGTGGCTTTGCAAACCAAGAACTCTGGTTGTTTGCACTTCAGGAAAAGATGGTATGTTTTCAAAACTCACCAATGAGCTGGCAGATACTATCTTCACTCTCACATGGTGCCAGCAGGGGGTGTCCCTTTATATCACCCTAAAATATATTTATTTCAGTTAAAACTGTGACTGAAGAAACCTACCCAGTCTTTCCCCATAAAATGTGCATACGACATTGTATTCCCTCCAAAAAGGAATTCTACAGAGTGCATTGATTTTTTTCTAGCTTCTAGAATCAGTGTTAAAGCCTTGATTATCATAGACAATTCCAACTGATGAGTTTAATTGACTTTAGTTATGATGTTAATTTTCTACTCTGATAGTTAAACAGTCCAGATAATTGATCTCACAGAAAGTTTTTCATCTTCTCACAGTGCAGATAGGTTTTAAACACAGTTTTCTTACCTCTGATTGGCATTCGATCAATGTCTCCATGTTATTGGCATTTAGTGTTTTTGGCTAAAGAGGAAAAAAAATAAAATTAGGTAAAGGTCTCTGGTCTGTAGCCTCTAAGAATTATGAATGGAGGAGTGGAAGCAGGGGTACCTACAGCGTCAAAGCCGCTTGTCAGCTTCATCGGAGCCTGGGCTGTCGGTCGCGGGTGGCGCTGTCTCCCCTGGGTCTCTGGCTCTGCCTACAACAAGGCACAGGGAAGGCAGTGAGAGGCACTCGGGTTAACTTGGTGAGTGGCCTCGCGGCTTTGCCAAACACAGAGACTGAAGCCACCGGAGAAGTTGTCGTTGAGTAGTTGTCAGTTCTGTGTTACCCAAAGCCTTGTGCCGCCACCAGCAGCCCCAGAACACGGTCATTTTAGAATTCTCTGAGCTGGATTCTTGGCGGTTCCCAGCTCTGTTATCTGTGGGCTGCGGAGGCCTCCAGAGGCAATCCCAGAACCGCTGACTGTCACAACTGGGGTGTGTGTATGTGTGTGTGTGTGTGTCTGTGTGCGTCTCTGTGTGCGCGCTCTGCCCACCGCACGGAAGCCTGCGCTGCCTTCCCTGGCTTTTCTCATCCCACCCAGAGAGGCAAAAACCCCTTCCCAGGAGGCTGCTCGCCGTGAACAGCAAACAGCGAGCGCCTGGAGCCGGCGCCCCCGCCCCCAGTGCCTGTGCTCCCCTGCGCTTGCGAGCCCCGCGCCCCTCTCTGCGGGTGGGCGCAGGCACCTGCGAGTACTCACCCCAGGGCTGCCGGCTACATCCAGGGAGCGGCGGGAGCTGCGGGGAGCGGCATGGCCACGGCAGGGTGTGGGCAGCTGCCCTGACTTCACGTGCGCGGGTTATAAGCAGGGGGCGGGCAGGTGGAAATTCAGATGTGAGCGAGGCGGAAGGCGCATCACGGCTGTCAACAGACTCAGCCCGCCAGGCGCTGCCCGGCTCTCACTTCCTCCTTCCTTTTAGGGCAGCCGCGGTTCTGTTCTTTCCTCTTTTTTTTTTCTCTTCCACTTCAAAGCAAAAAAAAAAAAAGTCCGTAAACTACTAGGAGTGGAAAAGATGACATAGAGCGCATGGATGGGAGCTCTGGTTAGGTCACGGGTGGGACGTAGAGGAAGAGTCCTGTTCTCTGTAAACAGCGTGTTCGTTTGTGAAGTGGGGATTTCAGGTGCTTCTTGGTTCTGGTATCCTGTTTCAGTACTGTTCCCCTCCCACCCACTGTCCACCAGCACCACCCCCCCACTGGCACCCCTGGGTGCAGGACGCTGTCACAGAACCAGAAAGAAAGGCAAGGCACGGCCCCTTCTTTGAGAGATGATGGCCAGTGTGTTCTGGAATTAGGAAGCCTGCCCGCTAGAGCGGCTGGGTGTCAGCGCCCTCTCCTCCCTGTGGCCCCTGGACGCAGATAACGGCGCGGAATTCACAGTCCCATCAGTTCTGCTTCTGACCTGGAACATTTCTTTGATCCGAGCACTTTCAGGCAGAGGGAGAGGGTCAGTTTCATGGTGGGCACCTCCTGCCTCAAAGAGAGTTCTGGTCTTTACATGAAGCCACTCATAAGCTCAAGGGTAGAAAGAATGTATAAATTATGATCCATCCACGCAGTGGAGCGGGTTCCACCCCACACAAAGGGAACAGCCTGTAACAACCCAGCGAGTCTCACGCTCTGACTGGGGAGTGAAAGCAGCCAGGCTCAGGACAGCAGCGTCCTGTGCACTTCCCCTAACCCAGAGTGTGGAGTAGCCAAGGCAGCCCGTGCTGGAGCGGCCAGCACCGCTGTGAGGCTGTCTTTCTCTGTCTGGGTGCTTCCAGACCCGTGCGCACCTGGCCGCACAGGTGTTGCTCTTCCGCACGAAGATTGAAATTAGCCTGGCTGAATTCCCCATCTGCACCTCAGATTGCAAGACACTTTGGTATTGACAGCTCTGCTGTCTTGATGTTGAAATTTGCCCTGTGGCGCAGTGTCTCGGTAGGGGATCTGAGGACAGACTCCCGATTGATATTCAGCAGTGCACCTGCAGGCTCATGCTGGCAGGGTCACCTGTGTCCCCTGGCAGCTGTGAATACTGCTGCCCTTCACAGGACTCCCAAATGACCTCCGTGCTTTTTTAGTAATTAAAAAGGACATTTATTCTGTGCCTAGCTTAGTGCCAGGCTAGTTGTAGTTAATAATTTCTGCATATACATCCAGTGTACATTTATGTATTTCTGAATATACTTGGAAGTATCCACTTGCTTGTATCATAGTCTCAGTGGAATGTTACTGTAATACTCTGTATGCTACAGAATACGTACTGTTACACGGAGTCTCTGCTAGTGTATATTTTATGAACTCCATTCACTTGACAAACTTACCTTCCTGCTTCTTTTAAGAAATGTGAAGTATGCTCTGTCTTCTCAACCGAAACATCGAGCCTCAGTGGAAGTGTTTCCCTCTTTTTAGAAATGAACACCGGATGTTTTTCGAATCCTTGGGTTTCTTCTCTCTGTTGTGCACCATACCATGTGGTACATACTCTGCCAGTGGTGTCAAGTCTTCTTCTCTTTTGTGATGGAATTCTACATTCACAGAAAGATGACTCCAGAATCCCAATCTACAATGTAAACAAATGCAACTCTAAAGTGCATTGCTGCGGTGGGAGACCATGCCCCCCCACACACACCTGTTTCAAGGTTTGGCCTTTGTCACAGGTCCTCGAAGGGCACTCAGAGGACGCTGGGCGCCCCTGCAGCCCCTGTGGGGCAGTCCACGATGGCAAGACTCCTATCGTGACAAAGCTAAGATGTTATTTGTGTGCCTTCTAACTCTTACTCCCCCGAGGGCATGGCGGAGTTTCCAGAGAGTGCATGCACTATGGTATTCACGTGGCCAAGGAAATGCGGTCTTGAGTTTAAAAATGATCTTAGCTTCAGCTTCTCCTTTGTACATAGTGACAGACACGGCTTGCACGGATGCAGGGCTGCAGAGCTGTCGCTTTGTCAGGGGCTCCTGCGGCCACGTGGTTGGAGAGGTGCTCATCCGGGTCCACCGTGTGCAAGGAGGACGTTCTGTGTGTTTCCTGGGTATTCGATGGCACCTCCACTGTCAGTGAACTCTACAGAAGCTGTTACAGAAGACGGTTTCAGAGCACGCAGCGGCAGGTGATGGCTATGTACTTGCTGTATCTTTGGTTTAGGAAGATGAGACTAACGCTTGGAGGCCAAACAATCCCCAGAATGCAAGTTGCCATTCGGTTGGATTCTGCCCGATTTCTTTTTGTCGCGTGAGTGGCCTTGGGATGCCGGTCTTGGCCGGGAAGTTCTGAGGCTGCGTTCGGGGCGGGGGGGGGGGGGGGGGGGGGGGGGGGGTGCTCACTTGTTTCTGTTTGAAAGCGCAGGGAGGGGCGGAGCTTGCACTCTTGGATTCCTTGCAAGGTTTGCTGGTCTGGATGTTGGCTGAAGTTCTGCTGAATGACGTGGTGCGGTTATCGGTGACTTCCTACAAGTGGGAGGAGTCCGACTTGGAGACTTGGAGATGATCCCGAGTCTGGAGGAGGTGCCCAAGACTTCAGAATGGATGGCTTTACAAGCGGCAAAGACCTGGGCTGAGAAGGGTGGCCCCCTGGTGGAGACTGGCCTTGGCCAGCTCTCTCAGGCCGGTCCCATACTTGGCTGGGGAGCAGTCTGGAGAGGAGTAGCTACAAACTGCATGTCACGAGGTGGACTTTTTGCCAGATGGTCAGGCTCTTGAGCATTCATGGTCACGTTCAAGTTCAAGTTCGCTTCAGAAGCCGTGCTCTCAGCCACATCCATCATGAACCGTGCGCTTCACGAGAAAGGCGGGTCTTCCAAACCGCAGCTGCTTTCTTGCTGTCAGCTGTGCGTGAATCTCTCGTGCAGGGGTGCGATGCCCTGCTGCGTGCCCCGGGCTGCGCGTTCACCGCGGGCCTCGGTCGGTGCGGCTCTCTTCGTGTTCCCTGGCCGTGGGCTGTGGGTCTGGGAGGCTGCTGGAAGGCTGCAGTACCTGGGGAGGGATCCTCCAGGGAGTTCGGGTGTCTTTATCAGCGTCTGTGCACTTTTCCTCTTTAGATTTTCGGTGGCCGTTACACCGAGTTGCAAGCTGATGTCTCATAGTTGGATTTTTTTTCGTCATTTTCTTGATTTCTTCTTTAAGGTGTTTTATTTCATCTAATAAATCTTCGTTCCTATATATTTGATCTCCATCTCCTAGATCTGGACTGGGCGGTGGTGAGGGTTGCGTGTGTAACGAGCCACTTGCGCCGAACCAACGCAGCCGACATTTCAGCTTCGGGAACTGAGTTCCGCAGCCGTGCCGCCCCAGACCACGGGCCGCAGGCGCATCTCATCCAGTGTCGCTGTGTGCTCTGGTGCTTCCACAGACATCTGAGCCTGGAAATCGGGCGTCTCTCCGCAGCTTTCAAAATGTCCCGAAGGCGATTCTCTGCAGGGAGCACCTCTGCTCAAGTCGTGTCTTCCACGGTGATGAGAGTGGTCAGGGTGGTCATGTGGCCGAGGTGGTAGTGCTCCTCCTTTTAATTTTATTTATTTGAAAGACAGAGTTACAGAGAAAGGTAGAGGCAGAGAGAGAGGGAGAGAGAGAGGGAGAGAGGCTTTCCATTCCACTAGTTCACTCCCCAAATGACTGCAACGGCCAGAGCCGAGCTGATCTGAAGCCAGGAGCCTGGAGCTTCTTCCGGGTCTCCCATGTGGATGCAGGGTCCCAAGGACTTGGACCATACTCCACTGCTTTCCCAGGCCACAGCAGAGAACTGGATAGGAAGTGGAGCAGCTGGGACTCGAACCAGTGCCCATATGGGATACCTGAGCTGCAGGCCAGGGCTTTAACCCCCTTCGCTACAGCCCCAGCCCCAGCCCCAGCAACAATTATTTTGTAAAGCTGAGTACAGGGCCGTGTGTTTGTTAACGGCACTGTGGAAACGTTGGTCAGCTTACAAAGGAAGAAATGATGTAAATGCAAATGCTGCGAGTCTTATAGAATCTAGGCTCCTCTTCTTCTTCCTTCCCCTTCACCTTCCCTTCATCTGGGACTGGGTTATGGGACACTACCTGGGTGCCCTCCAACACCGGGAGCTGAGCGGGCACCTGGCATCCTGGCATCACAGCCCTACCCTAACGTTTTCAGCTCGGTGGCATCCCCTGCACAGCCGTCTCTCCAAGGTGTTCATGAGGTCCTCCAGTACTAAGGACATTGCCGGTCCCCTGAAAGCTGTGCCTGGCCAGGCAGAAGACTCCTGGTTCTGTGAGAGTGGAGCCTGCCTCCCAAGGATGTCCACTGTGAATTCTCATTCTGGTCCAGGAGCTCCAGCTTTCAGGTTTCTCTGCTCTTTTTCCCTACCATTATCCCATCCCCAAGCAAACAAGCGAAACAACTTCTCTCTCTTTTCTAAAAAGATTTATTTATTTGAAAGGCAGAGATGCAGAGAGGGGAGAGAGCGAGCGAGCAAGAGAGAGAGAATGAATCTTCCATCCTCTGGTTTTCTCCCCAATCTCAAGCCAGGACCCAGGAGCTTCTTCTGGGTCTCCCACATGGGTGCAGGGGTCTCAGCTCTGGGGCCATCTTCTACTGCTTTCCCAGGTGCTTTGGTAGGGAGCTGGATAGGAAGTGGAGCAGCCGGGACTCGAACCGGCACCCAGATAGGATGCTGGCACTGCAGGCAGAGGCTTAACCCTCTACCACAGCGCTGGCCCAAACAGCTTCTCTTTTTGAAATAAACGACTTCAGTGCCTTCACCATCCTAGCAGGTAACGTTCTCTTGCATTCAGCGATGCCTGGGCTGGTGTGGGGTGAGAAGGGGTGGGTTAGCACCCACACACCTGTTGGAGACTGCTAGGTATTTCAGGTTCCTTCCCTTGTGTCGCTCCCCCTCTTCGTGGAGGAACGACACAGGACCCTGCGCTGTTCTTTCGTCTGCTCGGCCCTCCCCGGGTTTGCTGCTGGTTCTTCCCGGGTTGGCTACTATCCCTTCCACCTCCGTGGAAGGGCAGTTCCCCC